AGTTTATTCTGTCACATGTGTGCTGTGGGTGACAAGCGTCCCCAGCTGAGGAGGTATCGGAGTTTCTCAGCAGAGGGAAGCGACACGGTTCAAGCATGGCTCCCCAAACAACAAGACAGACATATTTGTTCATAACTTTATGATTAGTAAGACTGAGAGTTGCTGGATTTTAGCGAACAGTTGCTGAACGCACATTGACACAATGAGAACAGTGCAAAAAAAAAAAAAACTAGTCTCACAGGAGACTCTGCCAGACGTTCCCAGCAAACTCTCACAATACGTTTGGGTCTGCCAGGTCTGACCGGCATCCTCCCCCACCATCGGAGCCAACTCATTACCAGGTAGTGATCAGTTGACAGCTCCACCCCTCTCTTCACCCAAGTGTCCAAGACATGTGGCCGCAGATCAAATGAGACGATGACAAAGTCGATCATCGAACTGCGGCCTAGGGTGTCCTGGTGCCAAGAGCACATATGGACACCCTTATGCTTGAACAAGGTGTTCGTTATTGACAATCCATGACGAGCACAGAAGTCCAACAACAGAACACCACTCTGGTTCAGATCAGGGGGGCCGTTCCTCCCAACCACACCCCTCCAGGTCTCACTGTCATTGCCCACATGAGCATTGAAGTCCCCCAGCAGAACAAGGGAGTCCCCAGGAGGTGCACTTTCCAGTACCCCCTCCAAGGACTCCAGAAAGGGTGGATAATCTGAACTGCCGTTTGGTGCATAAGCACAAACGACAGTCTGAACCCGTCCCCCCACACTTAGGCGGAGGGAGGCCACCCTCTCATTCACTGGGGTGAACCCCAACACACAGGCACCAACTTGGGGGGCAATAAGTACGCCCACTCCTGCTCGGCGCCTCTCACCAGGGGCAACTCCAGAGTGGAAGAGTGTCCAGCCCCTCTCAAGGAAACTGGTTCCAGAGCCCGAGCCATGCGTAGAGGTGAGTCCGACTATTTCTAGCCGGAACCTCTCAGCCTCACACACCAGCTCAGGCTCCTTCCCCACCAGTGAGGTGACATTTCACGTCCCAATAGCCAGTTTCTGTAGCCGAGGATCAGACCACCAGGGTCCCCGCCCTCGGCCACCACCCATCCCACATTGCACCCGACCCCTTTGGCCCCTCCCACAGGTGGTGAGCCCATGGGAAGGGGGACCCATGTCTCCTCTTCGGGCTGTGCCCGGCCGAGCTCCATGGGTAAAAGCCCGGCCACCAGGCGCTCGCCCGCGTGCCCCACCTCCAGACCTGGCTCCAGAGTGGGGCCCCGGTGACCCACGTCCGGGCAAGGGAACACTAGGTCCATTTATTTGTCTCATCATCGGGGTCTTTGGGAGGAGGCCATCTTTGTGAAAAGAAATTGTCCATCATTAAACAGGGGTGGAGGCCTCCGGGTTCAACTGTCCCCCTCTTACAATGCTGTGATTGCTAGTATCACTCAACCCCCTGTGAATAGTAAACAGCCATCAGTGTGCTAATGATCCATTGTTAGGCTGATGGTCCTTCTTGACCATGTGAGCAGCTGGTTTTGGTTGTCAGCAGCAAACTGGTTGATCCACTCTGAGAAGGTGCTATTTAAGAGACTGAGCTGAACACAGCACCTCAGACTGAGGAAGTCTGAAAACTAAACGTGTCTATAATTTTTTTGTTTTTGAACCCGTCCAGAGGACCAGACTTAACTTGTTTAGATTTTTCTACCTGGATTATTGAGCATGCATCAGAATATGTCAAGAGCTAATGTTTTGGAGGCAATCCATTTTATGATGGCCACCACAGCTAATCAACCTCATCATACACAAAACTGGGCTTAACTCTGTTAATTTTACAGATGCTGACTTCAGGTTTGGTGTGATAAGAGCTGACAACACATACTTCTCATGGGGAGGACATTGACAGCATCACGGACTACATCCATTTCTGTGTGGACAACACTGTGCCCATCAGGACAGTACGGCGTTTCTCCAACAACAAACCATGGATTAATCCTGAAATAAAGGCTCTCCTGAAGGAGAAGAAAAGAGCCTTTAGATCAGGTAACAAGGAGGAACTGGGTATGTTTACATGGACATAAGTAACCGGATCAAATGGCCGGTCGGAATAAAAGTGTGTCATGTAAACACTCCGTTCGGGTTATTTTTTGTGTATTCGGCGCAATCCGATATAATTTGTGATCAGAACGAAACGGGTGGTTTACGCTGATCCGTAACCTGATCGGTGCGCATGTAAATGCTTGATCTGTTCGTTTTTATCTGATCGTGAAAAACTGACCTGACTGCGCATGTGCGACTTTGCCATTTCCGCCTGGCTAATGCTAATAATATTAGCATGTCAGGGAAGTAAAACTGGTCGGTGAGCGACACAACATTTTCTACTAGAAACTTTGAAAGAGCTCAAAATGATCTGTATTACCTGTAGCTCAGTCAGGGAGTGCAGTAACGTCTCCACCATCATTAAAACCTGTCGCGGGTCCATTTTGGGTGCTCAGGTTTGTTTACGTTCACCCCGGAAGTAGAACTTCTTCTTCGGTGTTTTTTTAAGGAGAGTTTACCACTCTGCACATGTCAGTACTGCTGTTCAGAACAAAGCCCGCTGCATGTAAACGCTCGTCATGAACAGATTGTGCCCATGTAAACAACACATTTGAATTATTCAAACAGAACACATTTCAATCCGGTCAAAGAATTCTGCGCATGTAAACATAGCTAATGAGAGCTGTGCAGAAAGAACTGAGAAGAAAGATTAGGGATGGAAAAAGCATCTATAGGAAAAAGATGGAGGATCAGCTGAAGCAGAACAACATCAGTGGGGTGTGGAGGAGCCTTAAAAACATATCAGGCCACAATCAAGCCCCCAGACTGTAGGAGACAAAGGGTGGGTGAATGACTTGAACCAGTTCTTTAACAGATTTGATCTGCCACCCACCCCCACCCCTACTCCAGCCCTGTCCCCCCTGCTGTCAGCTCCATCATCACCTTTAATGACTGCCAACTTCTCTTCTCAAGAATTCACACCTCTCAGCCATTAGCCTCCCCCTTCATTCCAGAAGACTTCATTTCACAGCCCCCTTCCCCCACCTCCATCTTGTCCCTATCAACTCTTCAGGTGAGGAATGAGCTGCGAAAGATCAAGGTGCGTAAAGCTGCAGGTCCAGATGGAATTAGTTACAGGCTCCTGAGGTGCTGCTCAGATCAACTGTGTGGCATCATGGGATTTATGTTCAATCTGAGCCTGAAGCTGGGGAAAGTACCACAACTGTGGAAGACCTCCTGTGTGGTACCGGTACCAAAAACCAAACATCCCAAGGACCTCAGTAACTACAGGCCGGTGGCTCTGACCTCACATTTGATGAAGACCCTCGAGAGGCTGGTCCTCAACAATTTGCGCCACCTGGTGAGGTCTTCATTAGAACCATTGCAGTTTGCCTACAGGCCTGGCATTGGGGTGGGTGACGCCATCATCTACCTCAGGCACCAAGCTCTGACCCACCTGGAGAAACCTGGAAGCACCGTGAGGATCATGTTCTTTGATTTCTCCAGTGCTTTCAACACCATCCAGCCAGGACTTCTGCGGGACAAGCTGGAGTTATCAGAAGTGGATCACCACATGTCCCAGTGGATACTGGATTACCTCACTGGACGCCCACAGTATGTGAGGACACAGGGCTGTGTCTCTGACATGCTGGTCTGCAGTACGGGGGTCCCACAGGGAACTGTGCTGGCACCGTTCCTCTTCACCCTCTACACTGCAGACTTCACCATCGACTCCCCACACTGCCATCTGCAAAAGTTTTCTGATGACTCTGCCATAGTCGGCCTCATCACAGGTGAGGACGACTCAGAGTACAGACAGCGGACTCAAGACTTTGTGGACTGGTGCCAGCAGAACCACCTCCTGATCAACGCTGCTAAAACTAAGGAGCTGGTTGTGGATTTCCGCAGGCACAGGTCCACCTCACTGATCCCGGTGAACATCCAGGGTGTGAACATCGAGATTGTGGACTCTTACAAGTACCTGGGTGTTCACCTGAACAATAAACTGGACTGGTCTCACAACACTGATGCACTTTACAGGAAGGGTCAGAGCAGACTCTACCTGCTGAGGAAACTGAGGTCTTTTGGAGTGCAGGGGGTGCTCCTGAAGACCTTCAAGACCTTCTTTGACTCGGTAGTGGCATCAGCCATCTTCTATGGTGTTGTGTGTTGGAGCAGCAGCTTATCTTCAGCTGAGAAGCAGCAGCTAGATAAGCTCATCAAGAAGGCCAGCTCTGTGCTTGGACGCCCCCTCGACCCAGTGCAGGTGGTGGGAGACAGAAGGACTCCAGCTAAAATAACATCATTGCTGGACAACGTCTCCCACTCCATGCATGAAGCTGTTGCTGAACTGGAGAGCTCATTCAGTGACAGATTACTGCATCCTAAATGCACAAAGGAGCGTTACCGCAGGTCCTTCCTCCCAGCAGCTGTTAGACTCTACAACCATCATCACTGCTCCCAACAAACTCAATAAGGATTAAATACATGCTGACCTCTGCTAAAACACACACTCTGCCTGTAATACTGTACTTTGTAAATAGTCTGCCATTCTCAATGTTCCAATACATATTGAACATTATTATTGATATTGTTTATCTTATTTCTTATATATTGTATTGTTTATTAACATTTTAGGAACTTTTGTGTGAAATTTTTTTATCTGTTGCTGCTGATACACTGGAATTTCCCATCGTGGGACAATAAAGGCTGTTTCTATTCTATTCTACTTTAATTATCGCTCAGGCTGTTTGGAAGGCGAGGCGCCCCCTGTGGATAACGGTTGAGAAAACACCATACTTCAAATGCTAATAGATTATGTGAGAGTGACGTCACACGCAATGTTATTTTTATAGTTTGACTCAAATGACTACATCTGTCTGAGCATGAGCTGATCTCAGTCTAAAACATCTGGTGTCAAAGACGCCCGGCGATATCGTTCAGAACACTGACGCGGGTTCTGACCTCGTGTCTGAATCCGAAAGTTGATCTTGCTCTCAGAGGGATGGGTGATGGTGTAACCACAGAACTCCACCTCCGGACTGAAAAATAAGTAAAAAAATCAAACAGAAAGTTTAAAGTGGGATGTGAGAATATCCTGAATGCTTCAAAGACGCTGGCGGAACCATTTGGATCAGTTTTCAACAGACGGATCAAACACAAACAGAACAAATCTCACAGGCGGACTGAAGATTATAGAAGATGAAGAAGATGATAACCTGAATTTACAGGTCCTTCTCAAAAAATTAACATATTGTGATAAAGGTCATTATTTTCCATAATGTAATGATAAAAATGAAACTTTCATATATTTCAGATTCATTGCACACCAACTGAAATATCTCAGGTCTTTAATTGTTTTAATACTGATGATTATGGCATACAGCTCATGAAAACCCAAAATGCCTGTCCCAAAAAATTAGCATATTTCATCCCACCAATGAAAGACAAGTGTTTTTAATACAAAAAACGCCAACCTTCAAATAATCATGTTCAGTTATGCACTCAATACTTGGTCGGGAATCCTTTTGCATGAATCACTGCTTCAATGCGGCGTGGCATGGAGGCAATCAGCCTGTGGCACTGCTGAGGTGTTATGGAGGCCCAGGATGCTTCGATAGCGGCCTTAAGCTCATCCAGAGTGTTGGGTCTTGTGTCTCTCAACTTTCTCTTCACAATATCCCACAGGTTCTCTATGGGGTTCAGGTCAGGAGAGTTGGCAGGCCAATTGAGCACAGTAATACCATGGTCAGTAAACCATTTACCAGTGGTTTTGGCACTGTGAGCAGGTGCCAGGTCGTGCTGAAAAATGAAATCTTCATCTCCACAAAGCTTTTCAGCAGATGGAAGCATGAAGTGCTCCAAAATCTCCTGATAGCTGCATTGACCCTGCGCTTGATAAAACACAGTGGACCAACACCAGCAGATGACATGACACCCCAGTGACTGTGGAAACTTGACACTGGACCTCAAGCAATGTGAATTCTGTGTCTCCTCTCTTCCACCAGACTCTGGGACCTTGATTTCCAAAGGAAATGCAAAATTTACTGTAATTAGAGAACATAACTTTGGACCACTCAGCAGCAGTCCCAGGCGAGATGTTTCTGCCGCTGTTTCTTGTTCAAAAGTGGCTTGACCTGGGGAATGCGGCACCTGTAGCCCATTTCCTGCACACGCCTGTGCACGGTGGCTCTGGATGTTTCTACTCCAGACTCAGTCCACTGCTTCCGCAGGTCCCCCAAGGTCTGGGATCGGCCCTTCTCCACAATCCTCCTCAGGGTCCGGTCACCTCTTCTCGTTGTGCAGCGTTTTCTGCCACACTTTTCCCTTCCCACAGACTTCCCACTGAGGTGCCTTGATACAGCACTCTGGGAACAGCCTATTCGTTCAGCAATTTCTTTCTGTGTCTTACCCTCTTGCTTGAGGGTGTCAATGATGGCCTTCTGGACAGCAGTCAGGTCGGCAGTCTTACCCATGATTGCGGTTTTGAGTAATGAACAAGGCTGTGAGTTTTTAAAAGCCTCAGGAATCTTTTGCAGGTGTTTAGAGTTACGTCGTTGATTCAGATGGTTAGGTTAATAGCTTGTTTAGAGAACCTTTTCATGATATGCTAATTTTTTGGGACAGGCATTTAGGGTTTTCATGAGCTGTATGCCATAATCATCAGTATTAAAACAATTAAAGACCTGAAATATTTCAGTTGGTGTGCAATGAATCTGAAATATATGAAAGTTTCATTTTTATCATCACATTATGGAAAATAATGACCTTTATCACAATATGCTAATTTTTTTAGAAGGACCTGTATGTGTGTGTGTGTGTGTAAAACAAGATACAAACTGGTCAACTCTGAATTTTAATATGTAATGTGATCAATTAAAATGAAAGCACCGACTTCTTCATGATCATGTATCTGAGGGAGTTGCCCAGCGTGTGATCTTCATGGTGCATCACGAACGTCACACAGTCCTCATCAGCTGCATCCACCTGGACCTTAAATGGACAAACACACATTTAAACAATACAAAGAACTTTCGCAACAAAAAAAACGGGCTAAATGTCAGAACTTCAACATTTGTTGACAGGGTTTTTCACAACATTTGTTTTCTTATAGACAAGATGAAACGGCATCCTGTGGGTGTTTCAACTCACTGAAATTAGATCAGATTTAAAGGATGACTTTAGACATGACTTTGTTTCAAAGAAACTTGTACACGAATCAGAATTTAAATCAACATATCTAACATAACGACAAGAAACTTTTTAAAGGCACCACATGTAGGATCATTAAAAAAACAAGTTTTATGTTCTTAAAAAGTTTTATTATTTATGGTCAACATGTGAACAATGACTGTCCGACCACAAAATAATAAAAATAAGACGATCTGGCCCAAATCTTCCACTAAAATAAACCAAGCAGCTAGTTTAAATATTGATTACTCTGCTATGGTTTATATCAAAAAGGTCTTTGTTGGTGTGTTGTTAATTATAACAGGGATTCATCCTCTTGTCTTTTGATTTATAACAATTCAAGCTCTACAGATGCACACGTGATACAAATGTTAACATTAAAACTGTAGATTCACACAACACGAATAATAAACGTCCAGATGTTAAACTTGGACTGTTTTCTCTTGTTGCTGCAGCTTCCCACGTGAGGCGTAAACAGATGTTGAAATTTAAAAAAGTAAAATCTGCTCCTCTGGACATTCACAAAGCAAAGCAACAACAAAAAAATATTGTTTTTGTTTTGCTTTGTGAATGTCCAGAGGAGCAGATTTTACTTTTTCAGATTTTTCTACCTGGATTATTGAGCATGCATCAGGATACAGACGTCGAAATGTTAAATTTATCACCTGTAATTCCACAACAGCCTCCCAGTGGAGTTTAAACTCCCAAGTTTTAACACAGTCACAAACTATAAAGCCCTAACGCGTCTTACCATTTCAAGCTTTGCTTTCTTTTCGCTTTCCCCCGCCATGCTTCAGTTTAATTCATGACAAGTAAGTTATAATGCGCATGCGTACAATCTGGCACACGTGTTCAACTAGCGTCATCCTTATTTCCGGATGGCGTTCAACTTTGTTTTGATTGTTTACATCTTACACGGGCATTTTTTTGTTTTTACATACGATCTATATGTAATAAATAATGATATTTTACGTCGTGACAGAGATGTGAAATGTAGCCGGGTGTCAGAAAGACTGCAGTGCAGCTGAAACATAGGAAGAAGTGAACGCTCTTTAAAGGTTCAACGAGCCGGAAGTACGCAAGACCACATCCAGACCACAATTCATAGCGAAAACCTGAGTTGGAGCAACGCGCATGTTCGAAGTCTGTTTTTCTTTTTTTTTTAGTTGTGGGCGTTATGTCTATGGGCGTAACGGTAAAAAGTTTACATGCTTTTTCTTCGGGGACTTTTGACCTGTGTGTTTTCTGACACGCAGGGAGCGCTTAAGTTCTGACACAAACATATATTTTGACGCATTTTTTGTCCAAGTACTCAATATAGTAAATTTAAAGGAGATTAAGTGAGATAAGAATTAGTAACTTTAAAATAGTTTATCTACAGCCTAATGCAGAGTTGCATTGATTTGTCGTCAATAACCCTGACTACAATCATTGTTTACATAATAGTTAATGTGGAAAAAGTTCTCCGACTATCTTGCCAGTGTATATAGTAAGTTTGGTAATGTATTTTTGCACGAAAAACATCGTTAGAAGAGCGCGCGCAGGTCGCCTGATATGCCAGATTTGGTTAAATTAGACTCGTTTCTAAACGTACAAACATGTGACGATCACGGAAGGCGTTAAAAATGTAGTTCAAACTGGTGAAATCCTAGCGTTGAGAATGCGAGGCAAAGAGCAGTTTAGGAACTACATTACCCAGCGCGGCAGGGAAGTCGTTTCCGGTTTAGAGTATGTGTTTTTTAAGGCAGAAGTAGCTAGCAGCTGATGCACATATGTCTCTATTTGAGTAAATTATTAGATACTTGAGGCACTGCTGGTACTTCGAGGTAATGATTTTACGTGTTTAGCTTTGACAAATGTGTTCGTTTTTGGATATAATCCGTGGAATTCAGTTAAATTTAAGTAGCCTGCCAGCGCAGCTCGGTCAATAACATCCGCTAGCTCGTTGATTCTCAGGAGTGGTCTTATCTTTAGGGTTTATTTCCCTACTAGCAAACTAGCTAGCAGCAGACGTGCTGCTAATACCTGCAAGTTTGGTGTAAATACATTGAGATATGTAACTTGTCCCACAACATTCTGCTGTATTAAACGACTTTTATTCGTTTTCTGGACACCAGCTGTTTCCATGGCAATCCTGTTTGCGGTGGTGGCTCGTGGGACCACCATCCTGGCGAAGCACGCGTGGTGCGGCGGGAACTTCCTGGAAGTCACGGAGCAGATTTTAGCCAAAGTTCCTTCAGAGAACAACAAGCTGACGTACAGCCACGGCAGGTACGGGTCCGGAGCGGCCATGTCCGGTCCAAAGTGTTGGTTCTGTTCGGACCGTCTCACAAAACCTTTTGTTTGTTTTGTCTCACAGCTACCTGTTCCATTACATCTGCCATGACAGGATTATATACTTATGCATCACTGATGATGTGAGTATGTTAGAGATATGCTTTCTGTAAGTTCTGTTAACTGTGACAACAAGGGATGTATCTGTTTTGTTGTTTATCATAAGATCAAGTGTTAAACAATTGCTTTCTCCCACACAAATTAGCCACCACATGGTATGAATGATTGGTTATAAAGCCTTTAAGTTTAGGTATGTTTGGGACGGCTGAGTGGTTAGAGCAGTTGTCCTCCAATGGGAGAGTTGGGGGTTCGATTCCACCAGCAGTCGCATGCTGAAGTGTCCTTGGGCAAGACAGTGAACCCCTCATTGCCTTCGAAGTGTGTCCCATCGGTGTATGAATGTGATAAAGCTCTGATTGTAGAGATCTAATAGAGTGCTGTATGAATGGGTAAATGAGGACACAGATTGTGTTGTAAAGAGCTTTGAGTGTCTTGATAAGAAAAAACGTGTATCTAGAGGTCCACATCTGATTGAACGATAAAAAACAAGGTGTTTGTTAACCACAGACATACCATACCATTTTATTTATAGAGCACTTAAAACAGCGACAAGGCCAACCAAAGTGCTGTACAGCCAGAACAACAGGTAACACACAAAGCAAAATACAAAATGAAGTAAATCAAAAATATAGACATAAAAACGATGCAGATAATGACAAACCAGTGTAGAGCATACAGGTTCAAAACACAGATCATCTGGTGTTGAAAGCTACTGAATAGTAGTGAGTTTTTAAACGGGACTTGAAAACCGAGAGGGAGGGGGCCTGTCTGATAAGCAGAGGTAACTCGTTCCAGAGACATATGTCTATGGTGTTGACCAGTTCAACATTAGCGGTGTCTCCATAACTTCTCTTTCTGCCTCTCTTAACACAGAACTTCCGGTTACATTTCAAAATAAGAGCAACATAAATGGGTAGTGGGGAGGGCTAAATGTTTGTTTTTTTAATATCTAGCCATTACATTAAAAACAAAATCAGTTTTGGTTGTTGAATAATGTGAAAATAGTTACAATTGATTCATAAATACAGAAAAATTAAGTAACCAAAATAATAATGATACTTAAACTGGCTTTGGGACAAAGGATGTTTCCTTTAACTTCACATTTTCTTGTTCGACCTTTTACATCAGTCACTGCAGATGAGTGATTGTCAGTTTCTTTATGATTTCTGCAACTGGAGCAGGTATTTCTGTTTACTGGTTAACTTCCTCAGCTGTCTCACATTTTAAGGGTCAACCCTACTCCATGTTTCAGCTCCTTTCATAGATCAGATCTCATAGAAGAACTTCTAAAGAGCAAATGTTGTTTTTAGCTTTTGTTTTGGGCCATTATCTCGTTATAGGACTTATGATCTTTAACTGAGACCAGACTTTTTGACAAATGGGAGCAGGTTTCGCTTCAGATGCTTCATATTTCATTGTACCCAGACCACACTCAAGCCAACCTGTGTCAGGTGCAGCTACAACCAAGAACAAAAGAGAATATTCTTGTGTTTGACAGCACATATAGCGCTTGTTCTTAGAAACCTTCAGTTTTAAAAGAGCTGATGTAACTTACCTAAAGAGCAGCAAATACAGCTAGCCAATCAGTGTTTGTCCTCCAGAAACACCCACTTTCGGTCTGCAGAGAACCCCTTCTCCTGTTTGTCTCCACAGTGGAACTTCCTGCTTTAAAATCTTTCACCAGAAACATTTATTTATATCTCTGTTCAGTTCCAGTCCAGACAAACACTCCTCTGGAAAGCTGCAAACATTCACTGTTCAGATCCCTCAGCGATGGGGGACGTTGGCAAACTTCTTTTTATCCAGCTGTTTTTTTTTTTTTTTGAGCGTGATATAACTTTGACCTTTGACTCATTCAGACATAAACATAATCCAACTAAACAACCAGTCTTGTTCTGAGACGTAACAAGCTGCCAAACAGTCTCAGACATTTACATTTTTCTTTTTTTAACCCAGAGAAGATTTAATAAAATGTATGATAGCCTTTGTCAAGATAGATAATTGAATGTTTATACACTTTACCAGCATCCTGTCACAACAAACACTGTTAATTTATTTTATTGAGATTTTGAGAGCACTCTTAAGTGGATAATGAGCTGCGCGGTGATGCTTCTCTCTGGTCCTGAGTGAGGTCTTTGCTCAATGGTTTTCTTAAGAACATGAGTTTCAACTACTATTCATCTGCAGTAGATGTGTATATATTGTTTTAAGCCTAATTAATTTTATCTTTTTTTTTCCTAGTTTTAAATCCACCTAATATTAATCTGTAAGATACAAAGACTGGACAGAAAATGAGTAGAAAGCATAGTCTTTCTAAAGCCTGAAAAACAATTTAAGACCGTTAAAACGCTCTCAGGACATTATTACCTGCAGTGTTCCCTCAGTGAGGACTGAACTTGGTAAAAGGGCCTTCTCCTACTCCGCCCGTTTCCTGGAATATCTTGTAAAAAGAGCTGAAGCTCTCGACCTTGACCTCTCTAAGTGGCTTCAAACATCTAAGTTCCTGGGAAAAACCAACGCAGACATGTTCCTGCTTTTAGTTTTCTACACCGCCTTATAATCCAGCTGTTTTTTTTTCTTTTTGCTACTTTTCCTTTTGACTGTCCTTTTGGTTGCCATTTTGTTTTGATTTGTTTGAAAAAAATTAATAATAAATTTTGTATGCCTCTTTTGTGACTGTTTATTGTTGTTGGTGTTTCTCACTGTTGTCATCACTCTGTTAAGAAATCAGGTCTCTCTTGTAAACGAGTCCCTGAGGCTCAATGGCATTAACCTGTCTAAATAAAGGTTGAATGAACAAAAAAAAAAACCAGTTTAGCAGAAAGTCTGACTCTTTGGGAGGGAAATGAATGTAAAGAAATGAGTGAAGTGGTGAATTTTAATTTAACAATACTGTAGAAATGAAAAGGTTCACACAAATGCATTGTTATTTCATCGTTAATTAACGGGTTACTAAATAATTTTCTGTTTGATTTTTTGTTTTTGGAAGGACTTTGAGAGATCTCGTGCATTCAGCTTCCTGAGCGAAGTGAAAAAGCGTTTCCAGACAACGTACGGATCCCGAGCTCAAACTGCTCTGCCCTACGCCATGAACAGCGAGTTCTCCTCCACACTAGCAGCTCAGATGGTGAGTACGAGCATCGTCCTACATGTTGCCCTGAGCATCGTCTAACACGTTGCCCTGAGCATCGTCCTACATGTCCCGAGCATTGTCCTACATGTTGTCTGAGCATTGTCCTACATGTTGTCTAAACATCGTCCTACATGTTGCCCTGAGCATTGTCCTACATGTTGCCCTGAGCACTGTCCTACATGTTGCCCTGAGCATCGTCCTACATGTTGCCCTGAGCATCGTCCTACACGTTGCCCTGAGCATCGTCCTACACGTTGCCCCGAGCATCGTCCTACACGTTGTCCCGAGCATCGTCCTACACGTTGTCCCGAGCATCGTCCTACACGTTGTCCCGAGCATCGTCCTACACGTTGTCCCGAGCATCGTCCTACACGTTGTCCCGAGCATCGTCTTTGCCAACTCCTCCTTCAGGACCACCCCTACCCCATTTCTCTTTCTATCCACACCATGGTAAAGCAGTTTGAACCCTGCTCCAATGCTGCGAGCCTTGTTGCCCTCCCACTTGGTCTCTTGGACACATAAAACATCAACCTTCCTTATCTGCCTCATGTCAGCCAGCTTTCTACCTTTGCCTGTCATTGTCCCAACATTTAGTGTGTCCACCCTCAGTCCTACATTCTTCACTTTCCTCTTCTCCCTCTGTCTCCTGACACGTTTCCCTCCTTGTGCTTTTTGACTAACGGTAGCACAATTTCCTGTTTGTCAAAAGTACCAGTTCTTGTTAACCCGGGTCTTGATCTAGTGTATTCTCACTTGTATTGTGTATTAGTTTTTACAAAAGTGTTTTAGGCCAGATGCTTTTCCAGACACAGCTCTCACCATGTACCTGGGAGACAAACACAAGAAAAACTGTACTTCTTTATCAGCTGTAACTTTATTTGTATTTTTTATCTGTCAACCACCAGGATGATGAAGATTCTCCTGTATGGATAAATGTGGCACATTCACATGATTTGTTTACATTTTACACTTGATAGATTAATGATCACGGTTCTTCTTTATAAACTTGACCTGGCTTTGTTGCAGAAACACCACTCAGACCCTCGGGGGTCGGATCGTGTCACGGAGACTCAGATGCACGTTGATGACTTGAAGGGCATCATGGTCCGCAACATCGGTAAGCCACTTTCTAGAGTCTAATTTCTAGTCTTATCAAGTTGACTGTATTGAAGACTAGTTTCACTCGTTGTGTGGACGTTTGCTGTGGAAGGCCACAATCCTGCAGGTCAGAGGGAAATGGAGGAGGTGGAGATGTTTTCCTCTGAAGCGAGGTTAATAAAATATACAAATGTTAGTCGAGTCATCAGAAACCTTTAGTGTTTGTTCAGTGAGCTCCTTCTCTCGTTGTTAAATCAGTTGGTGACCTCCTCCAGTTTGTTCATCGTGCTGAAGGATTAATGAAGTCTGGTGTCACCGAGCCTTGTTGTGTTCTGCTCACCTGGGCTCCTCTGGCTCTTTTTACAGACCTGGTGGCTCAGAGAGGAGAGAAGCTGGAGCTTCTGATTGACAAGACCGAGAACCTGGTTGATGCAGTAAGTTTAGTTTGTTCATTTGTTTTCTGACTCTCATCCTGCTCAGCTGTGTGATCCACGTCGTTTCTCTGTGTTCACCAGTCGGTGACGTTTAAAACGACGAGTCGTAACCTGGCCCGGGCCATGTGCATGAAGAACCTCAAGCTGACGCTGGTCATTGTGCTGGTGTGTGTGGTAGGTACACACAGTAATGTGCTTCTTCACAAACAGATCATCCCCAAGAACGCACAGCACGCTCTGCCTTTCATAGCAGATATTTTGCTAACAGACAGAGCAAAGGATAAAATGTAGGTTGTCTGTGAATTCCAGCACAAGTTGGTGTGCTGAGTATGTGTTGGTATCAGTCTCCCTCACCACCACACCTAACATTAGCTCTATCCGATTTTAAATTGTGGCTAGCTGTGGTAGCCATCTTGAACTGGGATGACTTCAGAAGCTTATCAGTTGTAGATATTGATTGATGACTTTCTGCAGGGTTATTTATTCAGTGGTTCTTGACGTACAAACAGACAGGCACAAGGACAACATGATTCCCCCTTCAGCCTTTTGACGACAGCTGATAGATACTGAAGAATCTTCCAGATGACCTGATTCAACTTTTCTCTCATTTCCAACAATGTTCAGTCAGGTCCTCTGGACGTTTTTTGTTGTTGAGAAACTTTTCGTCCTTCATCCAAAGGACTTCATCAATCTGATGAGTCACAAACAAACTAGGTATGGCTGGGCGCTATGGACCAAAATTAATATCTTGATATTTTTAAGAATTGTTTTTTTCCTTAAAGTAATAAAAATATCTTTGAGTCAAAGTTTTGTCCCAGTTGTCACACAGGCACATTTATTAACAACCAGCTGTAACTGCACACAATAAATGTCTAAACTATTTCCATATAATAAATAATCATCAGGGAGTGGTGGCGCAGAGGTTAGAGAAGGTGGGCCTGTGATCAGAAGATCGTTGGTTCAACTCCCATTACGACAACATGAAAATGTGGGTGGGAAAGGTGAAGTACCCACACCTTCTCCACCCTCATTTGCTCCACTCTGGGCCCTTGAGCAAGGCTCTTAACCCCCACCATCTGCTCCCCCGGGCGCCTTAAATAGCAGCTCTCTGTTCCACACAGAGGGCTGTGGTAGCTCGATGGTCTGTGGTTGCCTCAGGAAGGACATTCAGCATAAAAATAATTACCAAGTCTTCGTGCGATTTAGTTCACTGTGGAAGGGAGCAGCCGAAAGAAAAAAAAAAATGAAAAAATCCTCTTCAGCTGCGCATGTGTGAAGCAACAGGAGGGGCTGTGTTTGTATCCAGTCAGGGAGGAGGAGGGGCCGCATGCAGTTGGCGGTGCAGACGGGCAGAAAAAGGAGAACTACTGTAATTTCTGGACTATTGAGCATACCCAAATATAAGCCGCGCCCACCAAATTAAACAATAAAAATAATTTTTGTACAAACCGGATTCCAAAAAAGTTGGGACACTAAACAAATTGTGAATACAAACTGAATGCAATGATGTGGAGATGGCAAATGTCAATATTTTATTTGTAATATAACATAGATGACAGATCAAAAGTTTAATCTGAGTAAATGTAACATTTTAAAGGAAAAATATGTTGAGTCAAAATTTCACATTGTCAACAAATCCCAAAAAAGTTGGGACAAGTAGCAATAAGTGGCTGGAAAAAGGAAATTGAGCATATAACGAACAGCTGGAAGACCAATTAACACTAATTAGGTCAATTGACAAC